ACCTTGGACTTGGATCGATCGAACATGGCTAAGATCTATCAAACTCGAGTTAGATCGATCCTTAATGGCGGCGCCTTTTTGGATAAAAACAAATTTGAGATATTTTGAATATATTTTTGGGAAAAGGACAAAAGTCGTTGGTAGGGTGGTACAACTGGATAAGATCAATCATTTGGATAAGGACAAGAATATTCGATTGATCAGAGAATGAAGTTGGATCGATCAAACTTTTGAGATCTTTGAACAGGGATAAACATGGCTTAGATCCATCTTGAAGTGCTGAGATCGATGAAAGTTGGATCCATCGAACTTTTATTGAGATCGATCGAAGTTGCTGAAATTCCACTATTTGCTTCCTTTTGCTCTACTTTGCTCCTTTCTTTGATTCATCCCAGACTGGCTTCAATTATGCTCTTATTTGGCTGAGTTAGCTCGTTTTGGGGATAGGTACCTGAAAATGGAAATAACACGAAATCAATACAAAATGGTAAAATAAGATAGATAAAGGTCCTAAAATACCTAAGCTTAAAGGGTTTAAATACGCACTTTTCAGCACTCATCAGTTCTCATTTTGGAACACCACATAACAAAACACTTGTTCTGTTCTACACTAAAACAATACACTACAAAACATAACACTTCCCAAACGGGCCCTTAGTAATCATAATTCCATTTTTCATCAAAGTAAGGAACAAATAGGAAAACACTTCCCCAATTATTAATTACCAAAATGATAATTTATAATTGGACCAAAAAATATAATATTAGTTTGATTTGTTAGATTATAAGTTTACCCTTTATCTATCACCTAAGTTTCTTGCATATTACAAATTATCATATATGATTACACCTACCATATTAGTATCTGTAGGCGATTACTTGTTTATCACTCACTTACCCCTAAACCTTCTCCTATATATAGGGCATTTATGTAATCTTCATTAATACAATACAATATCATATTTTTTCATTCATTTATTTCTAACATGCTATCAGAGCTTTTTCGATCACTGGTAAAAAGTCTTATTAGTTTATCATAGTCATCGTCGGGATGGCACCATCAGTCATATCACCGGTGGCGATCAATCTTTAAATTTAAGCTTCTGCATCCCAACCTAGTTCATAATCAGCAAAAGTCCTATTTAGTTGCTCAATCAGCCTTCTAGACACATTATCGCAGTTTTCCGGTAATAATGTTATAATTCCAACTCGTAAGTGCTTCATCCTAAGACATAGTCAACAGCGGTGCCAGCAGCAGTGCGTCACTTGCACGATAGTTGCCATGTCAAACACAACCTACAGTGGTGCTAGCCGCAGTGCCACGTCAAACATAGTTAGTAACGGTAATAGTTGTAGTACCACATCAACTGCCACGTCAGTTGTTAACCATGTCTCCATATGCATAGTGGGTGAAAATCCATCTCCACCAAATTTGCGTCAGGCTGCTTTTATAATCTTGCCTTCAGTATCAAGTTGGGTTCATACTCACCTTGAGTTTGAGGGTGCTGTTAAATTACAAGTTTACCCCTTTATCTACCACCTAAGTTTCTTGCATAATACAAATTACCATATATGATTACACTTACCATATTAGTGTCTATAGGTTACTTGTTCATCACTCACCTATTCCCAAACATTCTCCTGTATATGTAATCTTCATTAATATAATACAATATCATATTTTTCCATTCCTTTATTTCTAGCATGATATCTATTTACTTAGCCACGAAGTAATAAAAATATATTACATGTCCAAATCATGTGGACCACAATTAATAAATAATTTTACAATTTGCACATTTATATATAGCGAGTGTGTTTTTGACACTTATTATTATTACACATATATATTATATTATATTCTTATTATTATTATTATTATTATTATTATTTTATTTTGGTGGTGTTAAAACAAAGCCAGCAAGGGGAGGAACCTCCCATTGTCACGTCCAAGCTCAAATACATATAAAGTCAAAAGGAACAAAGGAGACTTTCAAGCTTTTATTAATTTTTTGTTTAGTCCATCATCTTTCCAAATCTCCCCAACCCCATGTAATCATCACCAACCCAAAAAAAAAAAACAAAAAAGGTGCGATCACATGCATTTGGAATCTAACTACACATCTTGATTTTTCATATGAGTAAACAAAAGCCACTTTCTCTCCATAATTTTTGTGCCTCAAGGTTGTTGACATGAATACTAATTGAGGTCGTTTGAGTATGGTAGAATATTCTTTACAAAATCAACACATAAACATGCAATAATAATCCAAACAATTTTTTTATTTTTTTTTGGGAAGTCAATCCAAACAATTTTGAATAGAGTATTTCATTAGGTTTTAGTTTTGGCTTTTTATAAGAAATTCAATTAACCTTTCCCTCTCTTCTTGGAAGGTTCCTTTTCCTTTCACAAACACCCACAAGAGATGAGTTGTGTGTGTGTTGTCCAGGTGACCCATAGGCTATAGCCATTGTAACACATGTGACTTCATTATATACATCACATCCCACCCCACAAGGTGCATACGCATAACATTCGCCCACATCTGATTTTTTTACGTGTTGCTCGGGGTCAGGTGGGTCCCATTTGTTTGGATCATCATCGCTGTGTGGGAGCCATAATTACTTTATTACCCCACACATTAACTTTAATGACAGTACCCACGTCTAAAGTTCAAAGTTGGTACTAGTTTTTTCTTTTTTTTTTCTTCATATAAATACATGGATCTCTCCTCCCGCGAGGTTCTAAGAAAATACTGAGCAAGATAATCAAAACTCTATCATTAGGAAACTTAACTCTCTAGTTTCTTCTATTTCGAGGTGGAGAAAATATCAACTACCAGGGTCTCATATTAGTAATTTCTTATTTTATATCCTAAATTAGTTGTATAATTTGACAACTCAAAGAAAAAAAAAAAGTAATGACTGATTTTTAAATATCTCGCATGTTTTCTTAAAAAAATTATATTATCAAATGCCGATAATTAATATAGTATTTTTTTAATAACATTTAGACAAAATTAAATAAATCTTATAAAACTAATTAACTATTCCAATTAAATTTTTAAAAGTACCAAGAGTCTCGTGGACTCGACTGTAATACTTTATTTATATATATATATATATATATATATATATATATATATATAAGGACGAAACTAAAAAAATTATTTGGAGAGTGCACGAGACTCTTGGTACTTTTAAAAATTTAAAAGTAATAGTGTAATTTTTCTTTAATAAAAAAAGTAGGTATAGATTATTCCATAAAATATTGAGTACATAGAATGAGAATATATTGTAAACAAGAAGTCAAATTTGACATTTCATAAACTCAAATTTTGGGATAACTTGATAACTTTTGTTAGTTTAGAATTTTTTTTTAACTCTACTAAAGATTTTTAGAGGCGCACAAAGAATCGGAACCTGTCGGTTCCAATTTTTAGGAACCGTTGGGAATGGTTTCGGTTCCAGTTTCAGTTTCAAACTCCGGAACTGAAACTGTATAATAATTATAAATATTATATTTTTAATTATATAATTACTAATACATATGTCTATTAATGCATATAAAGAGATATATATAAAAATTTTAAAAGTAGAGGAAAGTATTATGATTTTAACCCTATATATATATATATATATATATATATATATATATATGTACATGCAACACACTTCCTTAAAAATTACAACACATGCTTGAAAATAATAAATGTGACCACTCAAAGTAATGATATTATTATATATAATAATGACCAATAAATCATATAATGGAGATTCATATTCTCCATCCACTTGCAATCATATAGCAACAATAGCAGCTGAACGTGCTAAAATAACCGGTTCACTTTTAAGGGTTGTAACTCGAATGCCAGTAGAACATTTATTTATTTTTTATTTTTATTTTTTTTATTATTTTTTTTTAAAACAAAAAATGTTAAAAGTTAATTAGTAAGTACATATTATCGAATGCTAGTAAAACTCCCTTAACAATAAATTTTATTTTATTTATTTACATTCCATCTTCTTCTTTACAATACCTTTAACTTCCCAAAAAAAAAAAAAAATTTATATATATATCTATATATATATATATATTTTTTTTTTTACTTTTAAACCAATAATAAGATGACAGTTGTAGTTCAAAATAGGAATAGTTTTGTCGTCTTTGTATTTCGAAACTCCAATTTGTCCACAGTACAATGTTACGTAGAACCTACCTACGTTCCGCCAAACGCGTCTTTGATGAGATGGAGAAGAGAAAGAGGTGCTGCGAATTAAAAAGGACCACTATAGTCCAGAAAGTACAGAATAATTTTATAGCCCAAAAAATTTGTAATGGCACACCTAAACCCAATTGTCCTTGCAATTCCAGTGGACCCAACCATGTCCTATTGTGGGTCCCCCTCAGTGACCTTAACACCAATGGCGGCCACTTCTCAATTAATGATTGAAAATTACATTTTTCTAATACTAATAATAATAATAATCTAATTTTAACTAATAATATCTGCCAACTTCAATTATTTCAATCCTAAGGTGAAATGTTCTCTCTCTTCTTGCTAACCAATTAAATTATTTATTTATTTCTATAATATATGGTCAAACAAAAATAATAAAATCATATAGCATGTTTGATTTTAATGAATTTGTAGATGACTCAGTATCGGCAATATGCTTAAAGAGTTTACTACATCATCAAGACTTAAGTGTTTTTTTTTTTTTTTTTAAGTTTCAACACCTTTGGAAGCTTATTTAAAGCACCACAAAAATAAAATAGTTAAAAAAAACATCTTTGAAGATTCCTATGACAAAAATTGTTGATACAAATCAATCAAACAAAATGGTCGACATGTAAGAAAAGCTCATATCACTAGTATTAACTTTAAAATCAAATTTTAGCACCAAACAAATATCTTCCTTCATTATTATTATTTTTAATTTAAAGAACTACTAAAATAGTTATATATATATATATATATATATATTTGAAGATTCCATAGGAGAATAATTGTCACTAATCAAACAAAATGGTACTACATAGGAGAAGTCGACCATATCACTAACTAATATTAACTTCAAAATCAAAATTTGGAACTGAAAAAAAAACATAATAAAATTCCTCGATTTGACCCAACTAGTTATTAGAGGAACCCAAAAGCTAAAACACCAACCATTTCAACAAAAAGACTGAACCGGACCCACATCTCTCCTAACCAAAGTCACCAACCCTAATTAAAACTGTACTACTACTACTATATACAATTTTCTCCTCCTAATAATAATAAAAATAAAATATATTTCTTTGAATATCCATCCAACCCCTCACATGACAGAGCAGGCGTTGGGGTTCTCATCACTGAACATCTGCGGAGCGTGGTCGTGGGCAACATGACCCGACCCATACACGTACGGATACGGGTACCCGTACTCCATTCTGTTTTCCTCCGCCATGTAACCACCGGCACTTTCTCCGCCGCCGCCTCCTACGGCGGCTGCCTTGTCCTGTCCACCGCCTTTCTCCTTCTTCTCACCGCCGCCTTTCTCTTTCTTCTCGCCGCCGCCGCCGCCGCCCTCTTTCTCTTTCTTCGCCGGAGGAACAATCTCAACGGACCTCCTTAGCCTATCCTTCAGTGACTCCGCAAGAGCCTTGGCGTCCATCGCGCCTTTCACGGTCACCGTATCCTTCTCTCGATCTATGGACATCTCTTGATACCCTGAAATTAACGGCCGTTAACTTTAACGTCAAGCACTCCAGATATATAAATATATAATACAACTTGAAAAACACACCGTTATGTAACTGTATGTACGGGAAAGAGGGGATAATGATAAAATCACCTTTGGTCTTTGTTACAATTCTGTGAATCTTCTGGATACATCCCTCGCAGTGGAGATTCAGCTTCAGCACTGCCGTCGTCACTGGAGTCTATAAGATATGCACATTAAAAAAATTATATATAAATGTTAAAACAAACATAAATATATATTCAAAAAGCTATATATATATATATATATATATACTACGTATGAGTATATATATTGAATAAACAAATAAAAAAAATTAAAATAAAAAAGCAACCCAATTAAGTAAATGATTGCTAAGATGCGCCGCCACATGTCCTGTAACGCAAGTGGAATTAAAACTATTAGAGGTAGCAACTCCTGAAACAGAGTGGATATTCAAATCTGGAAAGATTTGATTTCAAATGGCAAGGTAACAAACCGCAGAACGAAGACTGGCAAAATTGCGCCTTCATGATATTTACTTATTTTTTTATTTTTTATTTTTTATTTTTCTTACCTTCATGATAATTACTACCTTTATAACCTTCAAACTCGTCTCAGAGAAATTGAAAGAGGTTTCGATTGGGTAAGAAAAAGGGCAAAAACAAACAAACAAATAAATAGTTCGTGTGCTAAAATGCGCCAGGTGCGTAACATAAGAGAGACAAAGCAGAGCAGCAGAGTAGGGAGAGGGAGAGGGAGAGGGAGAGAGAAAACAGTGCGACAGAGGCGCACATTAGAGAAAACCAATACCTCTTTGGGTTTCTTGTCATCTGCCTTTTTCTCTGGTTTATCGTCGGTCTTCTTCTTGTCCTTGTCCTTGTTATCGTCTTTCTTTGGCAATGGAGAGAGCAGTTCCACTTTCCTCTTCAACTTCTGCTCGAGTTTCTCTCGGAACATCGCCGGATCTACTTTTCCGGTCACCGTGATCTTGTTCGAGTCCTTCTCGTCTCGTTTTATCGTCTCAACACCTTCACAACCACACAAATGCCCAATCATCATCATCATCATCAGTTGCAAAAAAAAAAAAAGCACAAAATTACATCAACAGTTGTGAGCAGTTACTGAATCTGAGAAAAACATTGATAGGAAATAGAAGCAATTTGAATACAGATACATACTTCTCAACACCCACAAAATAAAAATCCCAAAACATAGAGAACAAATTAATGTGCAAATCGAAAGATATATAATGTAGAAATCAACGGAGTAAATTAATTGTAGAGAAAGAAAGAAAGAAAGAAAGAAAGAAGAAACAGAGCATAAAATTTGAGAAAGATGATATATATATATATATATATATATATATATGTATATGTACCATCAAAACTTAGAATGGATTTCTTGATTTTAGTAGCACAACCCTCACAGTGCATTTCAATCCTCAGAACCACACTTGTCGAACCATCATCCTTCTTCCCTCCTTCGTTCTGCTTCTTCTCGCCTTCCTTTTTGTTCTTCTTGTCGCCCATCACACACAAGGTACACACACAAACACAGAGAGTGTTAGAGAGAGAGAGAGAGAGAGAGAGAGAGAGATTTGTTGAACTTGAGGCTTTGCAATGTGAGTGTGTAAATAAATATAGGAAGGAAGGAGATAAATGTGTATTTCCCATTTTGTCCTTCTACGTGTGTATTGGTCCTATTGGACACCGACTAATAGGTGCCGGTTTTCGTTTTGCCTTGAAACTTGGCTGCAATTTTAGGGTCAGATCAGGTACGTTGAATGAGTCGGTTCTGATTTTAGTGGAGGGAGGGTTTCGCTATTTTGTTGGACACGTTTTCTTATTATTATTATTATTATTATTATTATTATTTTCTAAATTTGAATGATGCTGTAAAGTATGATCTGTTTGTAATAAATTAATTGAATAGTCCTCCCTGTGGATGCGTTATTACTCCCGTATATATTTAATTATTTATGAGATTTATGAGCATTATCTAATAATATGCGTCATTACTCCTGTATATATTTAATTATTTATGAGATTTATGAGCATTATCTAATAATGCTGCGTTATTACTCCTGTATATATTTAATAATTCATGAGAATTATGAGCACTATCTAATAATAAGAAGTATAAAAAAAAAATTTATTTTGATATACATTCGAACCACTGTTGGTCATATTTCTCTTTATCGAGAAATTGAAGAAGCCATACAAGGGTTTTGTCGGGCCTGTTCATATGGTACCTAAGCTAAGTAATTATATGATACCAGCGGGAATTCAGGCCTCTCTGGTTCAACTTGGATCATAGTTCTGGAATTTCTACACCACTCAAGATATATATTTATTCTCATTACTTTTATCACACCACTACAATCCATCACTCTAAATGCTCCAATAACACAAATTTATTGCCATGAAATCGTGCAAATGCAACACACTTCTTTCACATTTATTGTTAATTGTGTGTTCCTTATTGGAACGGTTGGTTTCATATAATGTGTTTTTTCAGTTATTATTATTCTTTTTTTGTCAATTTGTTGGATTCTGCATATGTTGAAATCTAGTACTTGTGGAATTTTTTTTTTTTTTTTTTTTTCTAGTCTTTTTCTTTTTGGGGAGATTAGCCATTTTCAATTTATTTTAGCTATTTGTTTTGTTTAAAAAAAGGTTAATATAAATTGCAACTTTTTTTCCTTTTCTTATAGTACGTGTATTGACCCCACAACATGTGCATCATTTAAGTCCGGAGTGCGGTTCGAAAGCAAGACTTCAATGACTTACCTCCCGAATCTCTACCAATGATCTCCTTGGTATCAAAAACGAAAAAAAGGGGTAGCATAGCAATGGTGAGAACTAGACTTATGTAAAATATTTTTTCTTGCAATTGTGTCAACGCTCAAGGTCAATAACCTATAAAAACTTAGGACCATGAACTAAAATATACCAAATTATTTAGAGGTTCCCAATCACATTGACTTGTTGAGGAAAATTTTCCCACCAGCCAAAGGGCGCCACGTGCACGATATTTAGCCCAGAAGCAAGTCCAATATGAGAGGCCTAGCACTATAAGTCCATTTCATTCGATAAAGGCCTTCACACTAGAGGTGTAATACTTTGTCTGGTACAACATATAAAACAGGACGCGCGACCCAAGTGAAGCAACAAAGCCGAGTGGCCCAAGTGAGGCAACAAGGCCCATTTCGACTCACCATCAATTCTTGTCCAACACGGCTAAAGATCCCGCATAAAAAGGAAATAATGAGATATCAGGGAGTGATTGGTAGAATAAGGGGAAAAGTCCTAAATGGACTCCTTTAGGGTTTTTTTACACACTATAAAGTATATGCAAATGACCTTAATGAAATTAAGCTATTGACGACCTATGTGTGGTTCTCATTTTTCTCTGAATACTTCCCATCATTCTTTATTTTGTTTTTGTCCATTCTTGAGTGTGAGAGCATCAAGATCCTGTAATCAAGCACCATTGTTCGGTCCGAGATTTTATGCACCTTGTCGTGACCCATGTTTTTCAACCCGGTGCGTCAGTGATGACCCGAAAGTTGACCCAGTAACGGGTCTGAAATGCAGAAGCAAAAGATAAACCAAAGCATCTAGAGATATAAACCATCTCTAAGACACCAATGTGACCTTCCATGAAGCCATGGAAGTTAAAGAGAACAATAGAGGAAATGAGAGCCAAAACGGGCTAGATTCGTCAATAAAGGGTAAAATGGTCACTTCACTAATAAAAGGAGAAAATTGACTCTAAACAAGTCAAACAAGCTGAATTCAACTTAATCTAATCATTTTACAACATTCCAAGAGGTTCTAAGAACTTTGGACAAGAATCCCACAAAATGCCCTTTCCCGGTTTAAGTGGAAACTGACACTACCTCACTAAAACATAATAACTCCCATTTTGATTGGAATCTGATAATGGAATTAGTACCATTGGAAATATGACTCAAAATCATTGAGTTTAGGCTCAAGAATCACCCCATTTGGACTAGGAATGAAGGAGTTATGACCTTTTGAAGTTGGAACTTCAGTGCTGAAACACAACAGAGAAGCTGTGCATGTTCAAGCTATTTTGATCGACCAAAATAGAGTTTTGGTCAACCAAAACTCATAGAGACTTACCGGAATCTTAATTTTTAAAGTGAGTTTGGTTCGGTAGACCGAATTGAACCATCGGTCGACCGAAATTGGCCATCGGTCGACCGAAATGGCCTTGAAAACTGAAAATGACTACTGGAATTGATGAATTACTATACAATGAAGCTACCAAAAGCTATCGGTCGACCGAAATAGAGTTTCGGTTGACCAAAGCACCTCAAAATGCTGCTATATGACCTGCTATATACCAAATGTGTTAAGGTTCGACCTAAGCTTTGAATCCCATGATGATTTGGTTCAAAAATGAAAGTTTAAAACTGATTTTCAATAAGATTTGAGTATGTGAACATGTCAACAAGCTTTATATGCAATATTGAATACAAAACAATAGCCCATGGCCTCATACATGTCCTTTACAAGATTTTCACATACTAAACATCCAAGGTAGGTAAAAATACATTTTTGAAACAAAAGTTGGCACCAAATGGATACAAGTACTAATATAAACATGCTTGGCCCTTGGCCTCCATACATACATGCTTCTAATATCAAAAGTAAGTACTTAGGTATCATTATACATTAAGGTAGCTACATTAGCCTAAAAAAATACCATACACCCATGGTATGCAAAAATATAACTTCAAAAGTAAAGCATGCTAAACACTTGCATGTCAATGTACAAAAATGTTCCAAATTGCTCATTAGCCTCTAAGGACGATGAGCATCTAAGAACATAATCTCCTTACCTGAAAAACAACCCAAACCACTAGGGTGAGTAATCAAGTTACTGTAATGACCCGGATTTTTCGGATAAATTTTTTTTCCATTGTCTTTTCCTTTCTGAGTTTGGTTTCTTGTCGATTGGTGTCGTCTCGAGTGCTCTATAGTGATTTCCGAGACTCTTTTCTGTGGATTGACAACTTCCTTTGAGGACCGAGTCATTCCCACATTTTTCGTTTTTCGACACTATTCACTTGTTGTCTTTTTCCCTATTTCGTCTTTTCCTCATTTGTCACTCTGTTTGCGTAACCTCACTTCTTGTGTTTGGAGTTGGTTTCTGCCTTCACGTATCTTCATTCTCAGTGGTTTCTATGAGATACGTATCTTTACTTTCGTGAGAAAGTACTCCGGTTACTCTCGGTGTCCATAGGGGCGTGGATGCAAAGTTTTTTGGAAACTTTTTCTTTTCTTGGGGTGTTTTTCATAAATATCTTTTGAAGATATTCTATTTCGGGGGTATCTAAGAAAATATCTTTTGGAAGATATTTTCATTTTGGAGCAGTTTCGCAGTTTTCACTTTTTGGAGGGGCCATTGTGCAATTAATGAAAGTTATTGCTCAATGCCTTGTTTTGACCCTGGATCATCGTATGGGATTCATTTTCACATTTCGTCAAGTCATGGACTCTTAGAATTTCCTCCTGAACGATGTTTTCCAGTTTCAGGGTTTTTGGCCCCAATTTGGGCCAAACTTGTTTTGGGCATAACTCTCTGCTCGAGACTCGGTTTTTGACGCCGTTTCTTCCGTTGTTAATATTTTCTCATTTGGAATCTTTTTTGTTCATAGAGTTTTGCTGTTTGAGTGCGTCTGCTCAAATTTCACTTTTTCAGACCCCGCGGGGCTCGTTCGGGGCACTTTTTGAGTTTTTCTATAAATAGGGGGCCTTTAAGTGAAAAATCAGATTTCACTCTCTCTCTCCCCTCTCTTGGCCGGATCTCATGGCAGCCATGGCTGCCACCTTCTCTCTCCTCTTTTGAGCTTCTTCCCTTCAATGAAATACCTTAGTACCTTAGTGTTTAATGTTCCCCTCGGCAAGGCCTTCGATTCCAACCGATTGGAATCTCGTTTTGGCCATTTCTTAAGTTCGTGTTTGAAGTCAAGTTATGTTTTTGATGGGGCTTCCTTGGGATTCATGTTCGTGGTGTTGTTCCCGACAAAACCTAGGAGTTTCAACGGATTCGGAACCGATTTATTTTGGTGGGGATTTAAGATTTCATCTCAAATGGAGGTAGGGAATGTTTTAGGTTTTTGTGTGTATTGTATTGAGTGTTTAGCATAATTATACAACTTATATATGTGCTTTGTATCAAATCTAGAAAGTTAGTAATTTTTATTTCTTTGTATAAGATTTAAAATTCATGATAATATATAACTTTGATTTGAATTGTGGCATGATAGAAACTCTTGTTTTAATACGTTGGTTAAAATATATTAATTTGGGATTAATTAAATAAGAATTGCTCTTTTTAATTCATATTTATCTTTTGTGAATGATTTAAGTTCATGGCCATACCTTGCATGGAATTGAGTTGTATTATGCTTCTAAATTAAGTTTTGGTATGTTTGTTAACATACTTTAATTTGAGAGCATTTGGTTGAGTTTGGAAATCTAGAGACTTTAATTAAGAGAATTAATTAAAATCTATTTTGGTGGTTTCATGGGCCTAATTAAGCTTTTGTGTGAATATATATAATGACCATG